GTACATGCTGTTTTATTCTTTCACTCAACCTTTGAGAAGTCCTACCTACATAGCGAGCATCACACTCACATTTAAGCTCGTAGACTACATTGCTTGATATTTGAGCAGGGAGAGACTCTTTGGGAGTGGGTGGAAGAATAGTTCTTTTTGAGAATATAAAGACCACATTGCATGCAAAAAACTCTCAGTGATAGTTTTAGTTTCCTTCTCGATGTTATTAGAGGCCTTACCCATACAGGGAAGTTTAAGGAAAACAGGGCACTTGGCCGGTCCGAAAAGTTTATTCCGCTCATTCTTAGAACAACGTTTTCATTTTATACCGTTTTGATCTATTTATGTAACGGTATCATGTAAACGCAAAACCGAAGCGGCATAAATTCATGACGTTTTGGAACAAAAACGGTATCGTGTAAACAGGGTCCTATATTACGTTTATTATGGTTTGTACGCGTCTTTAAAAACGTCTTTTGAAAAATTGAAGTTAACGGTCATAAACATTTGCTTTAGAAATAGCACAATTGCTGAAGCAACAATTTCCTTTCATTCGCGAAAAAGCACGTGAAATTCACGCGTTCACGCTCAATTGAAAACCGTAGTACATCCATCGTTTATCATTGCACCTGACGTCATATTTTGGGTTGAAAATTATAGCTTGCAAGTTGCAAAATGGTTGAAAGTGTACCAAAACAGAAAAATATAAATATATATGATGTTGGACAATGCGACACTTGTAAAGCCTAGTTTAAATATATAGTTAATAGGGAAATAAGATTTTTAACAACTGTATCGTATTTCTGTAAATACAATCCCATTGGCAATTACAAATCACTTACACTTTGGCAGAGTATTTTCGCCAAAAAACGAACTGCTTAGCCTTTGATAAGCACTTCTCAAAATGAATTTCAGTTTAGCATTTCTTGGAACGCCAAGGTTCTATCGAAACCAATTTTATTTGCATGTCTAGGAACATTTTTTCTAAGAAACTTTGCACTACCCTTGGATCACTAGTTTACTATTTGAAAGTGTTTGCTATTTGAAAAGTGAAATAAAACATTCCTTTTTAAGACCAATTTAGGCATATTCAAGCCGTACTCAAGTCGTACGTACTTATGACGTTAGACATAAGCGTACACTCACACTCGACTTTTTCAAAGAGTATTCATAAAATTTGCCATGTTTTTTTTGAAAACTAAAACACTTTGACATAATACACACCTCAACATCTCACAAACGCCTAAATTAAAAAATACATGTTTGCTCACCTGCAGTCGGGCATCAATGTGTTCAACATCAGTTGTATCAAGAACAGCCAACTTATCTTGCACATTAGAAAGGGCGGCCTAACATATAATGATTACACATAAAAAGCATTAATGAAAGAAGACTTTACTATAAAGATTGTACATGCATAAAGAAATACACATGAATTATAATTGATTTTCGGCGTCATATTGTACGTTATCATATCTTTAAGTGATCAGAGTCGGAAAAAGGGAACAAGCCAAAAAACTATGACAATATCTGCATGACGCACCATATGAATTTATTTTTTCAACGGTCAGATATTACGAACAAGAAGATGTCACATAAAAGGAAAATCATACAAAAAAAACCCAATCCAAACAAATCCATATGCTTACTACGTAAATAAGGTATGAAACACATACAAGAAACTTGACTCACCATTACGCTTCTTTCTTTGGTAAAATTCGGATAAAATAAGGTTGACTAAAAATTAACAAAAAATTAGGGTTTATAAAATATAAAATGATTGACTTCTTATGAAATGAAAGTCACAAACAACAGATGGAGATTCCTAACTCAAGCAAAATCACCCTTATAAATGATTGTATTTGTGTAAATAGCGGTACATAACAGGCTCAAGTAAAGGCACGAGCCATATGCTATATACTTGGATTGAAATGAATATGTTGACTACTTTTTCTGTTATGCGTAAATAAACGTTTGTTAATGATCTTGGATAGGGGTGAAATTTCGTGTGATTATATGATTAATTTTAGCCAGGTGGTTAAACCGAGCTGAAATTGACGAAGCTCGTACGAGGCATGATCGCCAGTTGTCGTTAATTTGTGGAATTTTGTTGTCGTTATCATAAGCAATAGGTACTCAATTACGCATACGTGAATATTTTCAGCTAGAATTGTTCTCATGTAATTGCGTACGCTATTTTGACAGGATATTATAACAGGCCAGGGCTGAAATTTCAGCCCGGCCAACCGGGCTGAAACTCAGCCCGGGTTGAAATTGCTTCATGTAATCAGCCCCTAAGTCTCTATAAATAGGCTCCCTTAGATACAGACGAATGTTATAACCAATTTTCCGGAACTCCTTAAATTCTTTCCTACTAAAAACATGCGCAGCTAACTAATACTCCGAAATCCTCGTAAACACACTCTAAAACAGGAAAGGCGCCTAACTTAGAGTAGTGGAATCAATGACTGGCATAGGAGGACTAAACGGTACACCAGACTCCGAGGCCATGGTGTGCGCTTCACAGCGGGATTGATACTCTGCTGGATCCAATTAAACACCAGTGCCACAGTAATAGTTGATAATTAGTTCCTGGCGTGTGAATCTTAAGGAAAAGTTTAGAGAGATTTTTGACTGTGTACACGCGTTTGCTATGGAATTTGCAGCTTTTAAATGGGCAGTGCAGATTCCGAGCGGAGCAGTCTATGTAAAACGTGATGAATGAGCCGTGAATTGGTAAATAATCGGTAAACTGGATTAGTCCACCAGTTTTAAAATAATCGGTAATCGGCCGATCATTTTATGATAATCGGCAAATAATCGGCCATACCACATATTTTGCACATTTCAAGAAATGTTAAAAAGCAAGTCGTTTTTCACATCTTGCTGCAAATGATAGTCAAATGGGAAGGTGAGTGGCATTCTGTGCGATGAGTCACAAACCATCTTCTGTTTTCTAATTGTCCCAAACGAATCCTGATATCTTTTAAATACAGAGGGAGAAATGTAAATACTGATAGCTATTTCGTGACAATTTTACTGGTAATGGCGCAGGCAAGTAGAAGCGCAGTTTGGACATATTTTGAAGTTTTGGAGGATGACAACACGAAAGCAATATGTAAAGTTTATCACGAAAAAAGCTGGCAAATCGCAATCAGCAGAGGAGGAAAATCACGAAAACAGTTCACTAAGACATGGTTGCATCCAACCAAAGGAGAAAGAGATAGTAACTCGCGGAGATGAACCGCATCAAGAAATATGGTCTTGTTTTGAAGAAATAGTTGGGTCTGAGTCGGGTAACAACGTTCCAACTCTCTAGGAAGAGGTGAACGCATTTCTTAGCATTTCCTTACAACCATGAAAGTCGAGGCTTTCCAACAAGAAAATTTGTCATATCTTCAGCATCGCGCTTAAGTATCTAAGCCTGCCGAGCTCAAAGCGTATACTCAGAGAGCGTGTGTTCAGTGAAGCTGGGAACATTTCTACTATGGGGCTGTTCACAAGAGCCAGGTAATCGGATTCAGCGAGGCGTGAAATGATTTTGAGACATTGAAAGGATTAAAACTTTATGCGCAAAACTTACAACCTTTTCTTAGAAGCGTCATATGTCACTTTAGTCGTAACTTTCAAATAAGGCGAAATTAATTGTTTTCATTTTAAAGGTTTTGTGAATTTGCAAAGTCAGAGCGTAGAGAAATTGCTAAAATAAGTTTTTTGTTGTGAAGTATTTAATCTTTTCCACTTGCCAAAATGATTTAACGCTTCGTTGAATCCCTGCTACCGGGCTCGTGCAAACAGCCCCTAAGAAACGCAGTAGAATAGCCCCGCATAAAGCTGAAAATATCCAGTTTTTGTATCAAAATTTACCAAAACTAAACTTTGACTATTAAGACAACCATAACTTACTTGTTAAATGTCAAGCTGATTTTAATTGTACATAGTGTGTATTGTAAACATAAAACCGCATTTCCATGTTTGTCGGTCAACTTGTGTTTGTCTATTGCTTCCTAAAATAATCGGCAAGTGCCAATTAATCGGGCGATTAGTTGCGATAATTGGCCAAAAGATAATTGGGCTCATTAATCGGCAATTTTCCTTATCGACTCATCTCTAATTAAAATGAGAATTGAGAACATTGATTGAGCGAAAGTTGATGGAGACAGATTTAATGGGAGGAGATTCATCTACATTGATGGTAGGCGGATCACTGTCAGAGTACTGTATGTGAAGGAAACAAACAGGCGGCGAAATACCTGACTGATACGGAAACACAGAGAGGAATAAGAATAGAACAACTTGTCTGTGCGTCGGTTTTCGTGCCAGACAGGTACGTGGAAATCAGGTCTGCCGTTGAGTTTAGTGGAGCGACGAACGATGTTTTTGAGTTAATGTCGAGTCATAGCCACAACAGTTGCGATAATCGCCTGAATATCGCATTCATTACGTGGATAGAACAGCTAGGGGAAGATCAACGCCTTTCTTGTGGGCGAAAAAGTACGCCTGGCAGACAGCAGATCTCTTTCAAAGCGGCAATTAACACTCGCTAGTATTCGTGGAGGGACTGCTTTACGGGGTTCCCCGCTCGCAAGGCGTAGGTGAGGTACGGTTGTATGAATGTACGAAGGGCATCAAAGTTCTGCCAATGGGGCAGAATGGATTCACAGAGGAGAGTAATATGTCGGATGAGTTGCGGGATGATGTTAAGGATGGCATCAAGGTTAGTAATGATAACATTAGTTAACGACATCACTGAGCAATATTACACTGGTTTGCCCAGAGAAACTGCCCCACATAAAAAAGTTCGTACAAATAGAACAGAACAAGAGAAAAGTATATTTGTCCCGTACAACTACCTTAATTCAAAAGAAAAAAGCCAACAAATACAAAAACGTAAGCATGCAGGTGTTAAATAAGCTACATACCAAATTAGGGATATCGGTTCCCAGTAGATCTTCAAGTTTCGTCAATCTTTCTTCAAGCTCGCTAAACTAAAAACATATTCGTCATGAGATCAAAAAAGAAGATAAAAGGACGAATCGGGTCAGCAGTAGAAAACAGAATACTTACCTTAGATAAGTGGGTCAACTTGAGATGTTCAGGTTTGTATAAAAGGTTGTATGTAATACAATGTTCATCAATCTGAAAATTTACAAATACACGTCATCAATGTTCACATGCTTTTCCTTCGAAGCTCGTCGTACTCCGACAGACGACTATATGAGAACAAGCGCTATGAAAACAACCGCTGCAAGGTTTCGTAGATGTCATACGTAGTTGTAACTACGTAGCTATTCAGTTAAAATTACCAGTCCGTTACAAACCACTATACGAACCTGTTCTTTCTTAGTAGGCTTTGACATTGCTTTTTCCTTGTAAGATATAAGTTCTTGTTGCAATTTTCTAAAGTAAAATCGTCGCTATGATTGAATTGCTATGTGGATTACATTGTTTAAACAAATTAACATAAAATTTAATTTCTTACTTTTGAACAGTTCCTTGAGGAAAGTTGCCCCCTGCTGCAAGCTAAACAAAAACAAATCTCAGATGAGTAAATTAATCATATATTCAACAACAAATTATTTTCTATGATTTACTTTTCTCCCCGTGGCATTTATCAGTATAGCGGCAAATATGGACATTTATAACAAATATTTTACTTCTTGTCAAAATTTGATGCTGTAATAAACAATTTAGCTCGCAGTTTCACAAAGATCACACAGCAATTTAGTACATAAAAAACTGCAAAAAACAACAATTGCTAACAGTGTATTTTTAATAACCTTTTCCCATTCTCGTACGTACTTTATAATTGTAACTGATCATGAAAACAAAGAGAGAGGAAGCTAACGTCAGATGTATAAGCTTATAAACTATACACTGTATCTTCCCGATTAAAGCCGTTATGATTATTACGCTATAAAATTTGTGATGAACATATTTCTCTAATACAAAACAGCATTGATATAAGAGCACATTGGTTGAGCTAAAGTATCAAGAAAGGATATCATGGTATCACTTTTGCTGTTCAATATTCATAAATTCAAATTTGTAACCTATTTTTTTCTAACTCTAGCATTATAAAATAGAATGTTGTACAGGTACAGCATTTCAGTTTATTGTTTTAAGTGTTTAGAATAACGCACAAGTTATATTTTACAAAGTGTCGATGCAAACTGGTGAATCACTTTTTGGCAAAAATAAACACACATAAATACTTTGATTCTATAAGTAGCTAATTGGTATTACTTGCATCTTATGCAAGATTTACCTTTAAAATCAACGCAAAATAAAATTCACATGGCTTTTACTTGAGTTAAAACTGTTACAAAAATACGGATACAATTGAAAGCGTGAATAATGTTGGTCTTTTCAAGTTCAACAATATGAATAAAAAATGTTTGTAACTGTCTATTGATGTGTATAACTTTTTAATAGGTTAACTGTTAACCCTTGCCTACTATACTGCAAAAAGTGGAGTTGCGTAAGAGAAACTTATAGTCAGAAAACGCTAGTCACACGCCAGTACAAGGAATTTAAAAAGACTTTTTATGTGCGCAACGATAACGGCCAAATTGAAAACTGCATTTACAAGGTAGCATACGAATTCGGGTGGCTATAACAACAATTTGCATTCCATACACGTATCACAAATTTTGGTGTGACCCCCACCCTCACTCTCGAAAGAAATGAATACCATTACTTTATTCTCGAGTTATAGATTTCTCTGCAAAGCATTTGTGAAACCGCTCACGAAGACGACACCATAGTTCAAACATTTCATCCAAATCAGAATACTATCGTATAGCAGATATCTAAGCACATAAATAAGTAAAATGAGAAGGGTTACGTACCTCATTTCCTGTTAAAGTATCTGCTTGCCATGACTGGAGCTAATAAAAATGAAACACGTTTGTCATTTAAACTTCGGTAAGAAACACGGAAAAGCAAATTTCATTTGGCAAAATTATTGTCAAAAGTCGTTTGTAAAAGTCTTAAAAGTTTTAAGATACGTCGATGTTGGGAAGAATAACAAAGAACTGAAATATAACCATAGGAGACCCAAAAATTCACTTAGCTAGCTAAATCGTTTAAACAAACGATAACTCTCCCCATCACATCGTAACAGACCGTGCGCCGCAAACTTTGTATTAATTAATTGCATCTATATTATATATTTATTAAAACTATAAATTTTACCCAATTGCAGTTGAAAGTCTCTTTAAAAATAATGGCGTATGCACCAATTTGAGGCGTCCACAATGGACACAGAAACATTTTACAAACAAGCTCACGCATATTTTTTGGGATTGTTGTCGTCTTTTTTAAAAGCTACGTATGGATTTATATAGAAAAATTATCCCATTTTTAGTAATATAAATATTATTTTGAATTTTTGTTTGTTTTTTTTTTTACGTATTATTACTTTATATAAAGGCATGTTTTCGTAACTGCGATGATAGTAGTTGCATACCTTTGGTAAATATATAATATAGATACAATTAATTAATACAAAGCTTGCGGCGCACGGTCCGTTACGATGGAATGGGGAGGGTTATCGTTTGTTTAAACTCTTTAGCTAGCTAAGTGATTTTTTTGGGCCGCCTATGTACAAACTAGCGGAGGTTTTACGTATAACCTTTGATAATAGACTGAAGATTTTTTTGTGTTGTAGTTTGCGTAAGTAAAACTTTAGCATCAATAAATCAATTACCTGTTGTTGCAGACGCCTTGTCTACAATAAAAATTAAAAAGCAGAAGTTAAGTGTTTGCAGAATCAATAGAAATCCTCATTGGAAATATTTCTCATGTTAAATTGCTTTATTGCTGTTAACATTTTTGCATGATGTAACTTCTCGAGATTACTGAAATTTGAGACTCATCAGCTGTAAGTGAAGCAAAAACGACATTGCTAGACTCTTTAGATGTTTACGTAAACAAGCATTGCCTTTTCGTATCGTCTACGAGCTAAGATGTCAATCTTTTTTAGTAATAGAAAGACCATACTAAATTTAGCAATGCTATTAACTTTTATGCTCACATACACACTTGCATTGCAAGCTCAAAGAAACCGAATATTTATTCCATATCAGCTTCATACATATGGAACGTTTAATTGTAAAACATTTTCTGCATGGTGGTATTTTCACAAAAGAAAGCTATATAGGCTATATGGCATAAAATCAATGAAGGCTACACAAATATCCCAAGGTTAGTATGCAGCATAATTATTCAAACCAAGGCGTAAAAAGAAAAAGTCTTACCTCGATGGCTAAGGTTGTTGATGACGAACCCTTTTGTTGTTTACTACTTTTGGCTTCTTCCTACAAAACACAGGAAAAAAATTCCTCACAGAAAAACACAGAAGAAAAATACACTGTTAAAATGTTTAGTACAATATATTTCACAAGTGCAAAATTTATATAAAAACGGAATTTGCACATCACAAGACTGGGGTTATGATTGTCTTCAGAATACTACTGCTCTTCCAGCTAACTTAGCATGAGTTTGGTAAACAGTCTGTTCAAATGAAAAGTACACAAAGCTACATCTAATACAGCAGTGCATACATTAAGCAAACCTAGTAAGCCAAAATACTTTTAATCTCCACTAACTGAAAAGTATTTTGAGTGTTCATCGAGCATATGCACAAAAGCATTGCCTTCAAAAGTTATCAGTCATTTCAAAACAATGCATCTTTTAATTGCGCTTGATATTGACAATATAATGTACATTCGGAGAATCTAACCTTTATTTTTTCAACTTCCTCAAGTAATTCCTGCATTTCTAATTGCAATCGCTTGAATTTCTGCTCTGGTGTTTCTTTGGTAATAGATCTATTGGCAATCTACAAGAAAAATTAAATAACAAAAGCCTATTGATTATGGAAACCAATTGTCAACTAGGAATGCAGGGATGGCTTCATTAAAATAATTTTCTGCTCTCATAATAACAAACAGAACCACAAACATGAAACCATTGTACATCGAAAATCAAAAACTTTTCGAAGATCCAAAACCAAGAAAGTTTACACAATGACTCAATGTCTTAATTATGTGAATTTTGCCACATTATCACTAACTTTTTAAATTTTCATAATTATTACTATGCATTTAAAAAGACCAGCTGGATTGAAGTGAATACTGCCTGTTGCAAACAAACACACAGATTGTTAAATCAAACAACAACAGGTTGAATATATGTGAAGAAACTTACAATCTCATATTCACCATATGTTTCATATCCTCTCATCATAGGTTTGCCAATAGTTTCTGAGAAATCTAAACACATATGGTTACTATGCAAAACTAGAAAGGCAATTGCATGTAATTGATATGATGGGAAACAAACAATCAAAATTACTATCTTAATAGGATTCAAGTAAGCCATGATACTCTGATAATTGGTATGTCAAATAATTACCAGTTATATAATTTAATTGTCACAATATCGTCATATTACTAAATGTTGTATTTTTTCAACTAAAACTACTATTTTGCCCATTGATGTGTTCAATTTACTGCATAACTCAATTGACCAATGAAAAAATGGGTCAAGAAATGTTCGATAAATGATGTTCAATAAAAAGTTTAAGAATTTTTAAAATCATATACTAATTCAATTTCTCTTATCCTCAAATCTCCCCAAAAAGAGGTAAGCATAAAGGTTAATAAAGTGAAAGATTACTTGAACAACCACGCATAGCTAAAATGCTAACTGGGGCTGGGGGTGGGATGTCTTTTCATGTATTCAGTAGTGCTCCACTGACTTCTTATGAAAGGGACTTAGCTTTCGAAGGAAATCAGTCGGGCACAACCGAATATATACATATACACGCCCCCAATTAACGTTTTAGCTACATCCCTGGAACAATGTAATATATTGCTGCAACTTTTACTATTCATAACACAGTAGAACATGTTGTCAAGGATATGAAGTCCCATAAGAAAAAAATATTGCAGACAACAACTTTTTGATGCAACTGTTGCTAAATCAAAAAATATATGTTCACAAAAGTTTGCAAGAAAAATTTACAAAGTTTTGCTATTGCAAGAGCATATCATTCTTTTACTATGAAGAACCTTACCAGTTGAATTACTATTTAGATATTTTCCTTTGAATTTATTAAAAGCTTCTTTCTTATCCACATTTACATGCTCAATATCATTGCTTTCAAATTCATCCTGTAAAGGCACAGGAACAATTAGGGTATATATTTACATGAATTCGACGGACGACTTGCAGCTAAAAATACTGAATAACGTGCTAAAAAGAAAATACGTATAATAATGCAATCCACTGCACACACTTCAGCTTTCAAAATTTTTACTGAATTTGAACACATATCGAAACAATCTACATAGATCTCTGCTTTCTAATGGTTTTATACCAGGAATTTAATTTGGTTTTCGCGACATTCGTTCATTCATCATCACAAACCTGAGTAGATATTTGATCATTGGTCTTTGCCACTCCTTCGTCGTTAGTTTCGAAGACATCGGGCGAATAAGTATCCTAAACAATAGTATATTTTGAATTTAAAAAAAATTGTCTGTCGTTTCAGAGAAAATATCATACATCACATACAATGCCAGGTAATCCAGAATACTTTTCTTCCATATTCGTGTTACTGTCGTTTTGGGAATGCACACTCGGACATCTAGCAAAAGTAGGCGCATTCGGAAACATTTTACGAAGATGATTTCCGACACCCGAGGTTTATTTTTTCGTATTGCGTGGATTCTGCGTGTATGTGAGCGATAAATATCGCTGCATATAATTTAAATAAAAGCAACAGATAGGCAAATGGTCGTGGTGTTTTGAACAGACTATTGATCTGACCAAACTTAAAGGTAAGCGCAATATATTGTAGTATAATATATATTTATAATATATAAATATATATATTATTATATAGTAGAGAAAAATCACAGAACTACAGATTCATCCCTACAGATTCATCCCAGATTCATCCCATGGGATGAATCTGTAGTTCTGTGATTTTTCTCTACACCACTACACATATTTACGCTCTGCTCTCGGGCATCGAGCACTGTTTTACACGGAAAATCATAAATTATAAACTTCCTATATATTATTATATATATATTATTCTATATATATATTCTATGTTATTCGACATAGTTGCATTCAAGTAAACAAAGACAAATGGTCTCCTGTGATTCTTAATCATTATTGTGATCAACAAAATGGAAATGTATAGCAGTTTAGAATTTAAAAATTTTATACCATTACACATTTATTTAACTTTAAATGTGTTGAAACCTGAAAGCATAAAGCAAATTAAAGCGCAATTTATTTTGAAATTATTTTGCTCACTGGTATTACATATGTAAGCTCTCCATCACTTGTTCTACAGTATAAAAAAATCTAAATCAACTTATCAAGAAAGGTAAGATAACATTGAAAATTCTAGACATTTTATTCTCCATTTCCCTGGTTTTTTGTTAGATGATGGTTTGATATCACTTTATGTACTAAATTTTTGACATATTTTTTATAGAATATAATCTTGCCAATTGTGTTTTATGCTTTGCATGTGCCAGTGGCAATTTGTTAACAACATATTCATGTAGTATAAAGGGAAAATCAGTAATAGTAATTTTACATTATATATGTAACATTTTAAATGTTCAAGGTAACTAAGTAACTAAGGAAACTAATTACCATCTTAGATATATATTACATATTTGTAAAATAAAATCTACAAGTTTTTGCTGTCGCTATTTGTACATATTTGTATATATATCAAAAATGGAAAGTTGCTATTAGTCACCTTGAACATTGAAATATTGATAAAGTGGTTACTTTCTGTGTGTGCATGCACACATGAATGTACATGCACATATATATATAAGCATGAAGCACCAAGTCGAAAGCTCAATAAATCATTAATAAAAATCCAGAGAAACTCTTACAATTGAATACAAAATATAACAATTCTTTCTATAGTTACAACTTTGAGTTTCCTCTAAAGCATTTTATTCTTTTGATTCATTATACGCATTTTGGACACTTCCAAGTGACATTTGTCTTGTGGAAAACTGAATCTGGCACTTTTGGTGAACACTTTTTGTGGAACCACTCCAAGCATTTGTCACACTGAGTACACCATAGGTCAGGGTTTTCAAGATCTTTCTGGTTCCATGGCATTCGACAGTGGCACATCAGTGAAAATTTCAATTTTCTTTGGATTTGACTCTTGTCATCAATTTTCCTTTTCTTTGTCGAAGGGAAAGGAGTGAACTCATATTTTTCAGACAACTCAACAAGTGTAATTGCATGGAACCTTCATTATACAACAAAGTTGTTGGATCTTGGTTAAAAAGTAATGACACAAGAAATGCAATTGCAAACACCCCACAGTCAACGTAATTGGATTGATACTGGACATGTGGTATGTTGATTGTGATTGATGGTGATGGCTCATGGAGTAGGTTGGCAATTTGTTTTTTTGTTAAACAACTGACTCTTCCATTGTACAAACTGTCATATAAATTGACTGAAGCATTCTGACAGTCAATATTTGAAACCAATACACGGTGATGAGTACCTGTGTGGAGAATCTGGAAAAAAGTACCCCGATGTACAGAAAAATTGGTAACAGGGCCAAGTGTTGTGTTTTCTAAACCAAGTACGACAGGAAATTGTTTCTGCAAACCATTATGTGCAGCACCAATGATGTGATCTGTTAAGTCTTTTCTGGTGATGATTATATTTGTGTCAATGTCACTAAGTTTAAAAAATCCACGCTTTGGGGTCTGAACGATCTTTTCCAGTTTATTACCTGATTCTTTGTTCAAGGGCTCAATAGGTCTGTAATGGGAAGAGTTTATTTCATCTGTCACAATATTTGAATCATTTCGTCTAATCTTTGCTTGCTTTCCTTCTATTTCTGTTAATGTTGAAGCATAACTTCTTTTTAAAGTTGCTGCTTTTGCACCACTTCGACCTGACCAGGGATTTTTCTTTGCCGGTTTTAGTATGGGTTTAAACGGATTTACTAAACACTTGCTATTTTTGACGCTACATTTTGGGGAAGATATCTTTGTATCTGGCACTTCCAACACTAAACCATTTTCCTTTGGAGAAACATCAGTCAGTATTTTATAACATTCATCCAATTTGACTTTTACTTCATGCAAAACATTGCCATTTTCCCCATCCCTCAGCAACATAAGTTAAATTCTTTATTTGTCCAAACCGTTCTCTACACCTTGCGGCTTCTGTTCTATGTGAAGATGGCTTTCGTTTTAGCTCAGCTACAATGGTGGGGAAAATGTTCTTGTCCTTAGTTACGTGGATTTCGTTTTCCTCTGGTGCTTCGACGGTTTGTGAAGAATCATCGGAGTGACATTGGCTTACCTCAAATGTCTTTGTTTCCATTACTGACGTGCAACCTATTCGATCAACTGTTAAAAATGGAGATTCCGTGCACGACTTCGGTAGTTTATCGAATGACCAAAATGGAAAGTTCTTGAAAATCGCAAAGAAGTGCTTATATGGCAACCTGTGTCTTTCCCAGTCATAACAATCACAGCATGGAAGATCACATGGATCACTTCCAAACGACAATGTTTAAAGCTTGCCTATGTCGTCTTGACTACGAACTTTGAAAATTCCATGCATTTCGTCAACAACCATGATGTGTGATGCAAGGGTATCTTCTGACGATGCAAGTCTTTCCATACAATGCCTAATCATAGAGTGTGGTCTTTCGTGAAGGTATGACGGGACATCATAATTTTACTGCCTGTAATTGCTCTGCAATTTCGTATTTAATTCGACGTATCTGTAAAATTAGACAAGAATTTCCAACGTTGTAGCTGCTAAAATACTAGCGCTAACAGCAGCAGCGATTTCCCCAGCCCGTTTTTTTGTACCTCTACAAATCATATATTTTTGTGTTTAATCAATGGAAAGACAATGAATGGCATCGAATTTCTAAAGAAATGAACAATAATTTTGCTGAGAAATCTGGTATTGGAAGTAGTTTAGTTCTAGGTTTCTTGACTAACCTGGGAATACTCGGTTTATCGCCGACATTTCCTCTTCAGAGTAATCTACCATAAAATACGCTGGATTCCACTCGTTGTTCCAACCTCTTATAACTTGAAGAGCCTCCGCAATAGCGTACGATGTTTCACTTTGCAGAACAAAAGAACGAACGACTTGATAGCTTACATTGGTTTTTACCACAAGAAAAAACAAAGCGAGGCTGTATTTTGTCGTTTTGTAAGTGGCATCTAGAAGGGTAAGTTCGTTACCATATCTCTTTAGAAGACGTTTCTGATTAACAGTCTGGTGAATGAATAACAACCCATTTTTTGACTCTGGCAAAACTGTGTTGTCATCATCATCGTGATCGTCGTCTTCTTCGCTATCAACACTATTTTCTTTAGTAATCAAAGACTCTGCTGAATATTTAGCAAGCGGGCGAAAGAAGAAAGACTCGTCGGGACAACTCAGTTTCCAGTCTTCCATTTTCTTTTGAAGATTTTATTAGATTGTATTAACATTATAATATCTTACAGAATTATCATCATTATCATCTGATTTCCAATATTGAATTGATTGTTGAAATAAGAAAGGTGAGAATAAAATACATTTATCATTATCCTTTATTTCATAGGTACAAGTAGTAATGGTTCTTCTATTAGTATTTATTTTTACTTTTTTATTTTTATTAAAAAATAAGTGAACTTCCATATGACATAGTGTTTTTGCAGCCATTTTATTAATTAATTTTAGCAATGGGTAATTCTATGTGTAAACCATCCAACTAACACCGCTTATAAAGATAAATCTAAACTGCATGTGTATAAAAGTATCCGAAAATGATAATGATTATCATGACAATGTAGACAGTGAAGAAAAAAAAATGAAGAAGACGAAAAATCATGTCAAAAAGAAAAAATGAAAAAATTGAAGAAGAAGAAAAAAAAGAAAATTATTTCAAATAATAAAATAATGAAAATATTAAGTATATTTCATTCAAGAATTGATGAAAAAGTTTAATATATAAAAATAAATAAATAATTAATTGATTTACAATATAAAAAAACATTTTTTCATTAAATGGTGAAGTTAAGGATCACATAAATCAAATTTTTATAAAAAAAACAATTTCAACAATTTACCTAATTTTTTTATACAAGTTTAAAAATTATTACAATGTTTGCATAATATAGCAAAATTGTCTGTAAATTCTGAGAAAGATTTAGATTTTTTTGAAAAAGCTCCATTAACACCTTTTTCGACAGCCTATTACCTTTAAAGGAATTCAATATACAGAGATTATTAGATCCTTTTGAACATAATTTACAGACTAACATTTCAGAATTTTTAAATAATGATTGGGAAACTAATGTATGCATTATGATTGTTCCAAATCAATATAAAAATGAGAAAATCTCATTTAGAAAATAGTCCAATTCTGAAAAACAAAACAAAAAGCTTATTTATAACTGAAATCGTGATGATAATAGTAGTGGAGGTGGTGAAACAAATCGTCCAGTATTGAAGCATCAAAGAGAAATCAGAAATGGTATTTTACAAATTAAGTGTGACAATTACAAAGTTAAATTAAGAATTGTTGTTTTGCTGTGGCTGTATTAGTTGTAAAAATTTTTCTTAATAATGACGATAAACTATCTAAATTTAAAATAAATTGAAATAAATCAGTTGATATAATAGTATCTGTAGACAAAGTTAAATCATACTTTAAAGAAGCTAAGTTACCAAAAGGAAGTTTTTCCATTAACTAAGTAAACATAATTTATGAAAACTATTTAAAGAAAGATAATTTATATTTAGTAATTTTTTCTAAAGCTAAACTATATAAAATAAGTTATGATTCTGAAGTGACTAATCACAAATCCTTTCGTTATTTTTTTATGATAAAATGATTCTTACTATGACTTAATCTTAAATCAGATTCTTAGGATAACGTTATTTTTTTATGGTAAAATGATTCTTACTATGACGTAATCTTAAATCAGAAACTTTTTTCTAAATTAAACCTAGATATATTTTGCTTTAAATGCATGCATTATTTAACATTTGATGAGTATTTCGACTCTCATATATGTAAGAATGAAGATACCTGTTTGAAATGTTATTCAAACTGTAGGAAAGGAAAAAATTTTATTCAATGAACAGAATGTAATATAATTTCATAATCTACAGATGGTTTTCAAAAGCATCTGTTTAATAAACTGTTCATAAAATAAAAACTGCGTTAAGGTCACTCCTTGTCAAAAAATTTTTTTTGTAATACATGTAATAAAATTGTTCTAAGATTTTTCTTTGTTAAAAAATAAGCTTGTTTTTCAAGATTGTCAAAAAAATATTTTGTGCTCATTGTAGAAAATATTTGGACAAGCAACAACATAAATGCTACATCAAACCTTTAGACTTTAATAATTATGCGCGTACATCAACATTATTTTTCATGGATTTTAAAAGCAAATTTGATGAACATAATTTAATGATACTATTCTGATGTGCTGTTCAGAAAATATGTCAAAAATGTGAGAAAATATACTTTTTCACAGAAGTTTTGAGCATTTGTTACCCAATACGAATTAAATTACTAACTTATCAATGGATCCCGTTGATTGTTGTGGTTATTATCAATTTGTATTTGATTGTAATAACGATAATGTAACATCACAATTAGTTCAATTTATTGTACAAAGAAATTCTGTTTGGATTGCACATAATGGTTGTAGATTTGACACAATATTTTTACTAAAATACTTATTGACAAAAAATATCTAATTCCCGAAATTGTTATGAATGGAAATAAAATTTTATCTTTAATCTACAAATTATTGATAGTTATTCATTTTTGTCAATGACATTGCAAACTTTCCAAAATCACTCAAAATTGATAATACTGCAAAAAGATATCATCCATATCAATTTTTTGATTTAACGTTTAGGGGAAATATGACTGATAAAAAGTACTTTGATATTTCAGAAAGTAAAACAAATGATTTTGACACATGGTATAACAAACAATGTGAAAAAGAATACATATTTCGCGATGCAATTTATTATTATTGTAGTGAGGATGTTAATGTGCTATAATTTGGTTGTATAAAATTTTCAAATTTAATCTATAACATCACAAACATTTGTAATAGTTCTTAAAAGAACTGTTTTAACCAGAACACTAACCCATAAATTCAAAGGAGCCGTTATTTACAGCTAGAAAGAGACACTATGCATTTCGGCAGACTACTCGTCAGGTGTCAACGTCTGCTAAATGAGAACCTCCAAACCATGCTATATTTATAACGTTACAAAAGGTCAATGTCATCCCTATTTTTAGAGATGACACTCTTAAAACAGAGACAGATTAAACACGTTATCCTTTTGTCGCCAAAGGACAGGATTATTCAATTTAATTAATACCGACTCCATGAAAACTGGGCACTTGGCCGGTCCGAAAAGTTTATTCCGTTCAATGTTAGTGGATAAGAAAAGTTTGTCTAGCAACTTTTCCGGATATTCATTTAACACAAAAATATTCTTCAGTGAGATAAGATCACTATCAATAAACTCTTTTGAGGACAATTTATGCGTTCGCTTTATCAAACACTTCAATAAAGGAATCTTTCTTCTATGCGAAGAGAAAGAGTCAAAGCGTGTGTACAAACCAGTGAAAGTTGCTTTGCGATGAATGCTTGTTAAGAACTGACCATTGCGTTTGTGAACATCTAAAAAAGCTAATTGATTGTTTGACTCTAGTTCAGAGGTGGAATTTTGTGCAGGGTGAAGAGAGCAAAGTTTATTAAGAAAAAGATCACGATTTTTATCGTTATGAAACAAAGAAAAGGTGTAATCCACATAACGCTTATACCACAGCCCATCGGACAATCTGAAGATGCAAGCATTTTGCATTCATGATAGCCAGCAAAAATATTCGCAAGAACCGGTCCAAGTGGAGAACGCATAGCCACCCCGTCAATTTCTTTATACATGGTGTCATCGAAACTAAACTCCACACCCTTTGTGGCAGCCATCATTAGTTCTCTAAAGGCATTCTCAGACATGTCCGGCAAAGTCATGTCCGGATATTCATTTAACACAAAAATATTCTTCAGTGAGATAAGATCACTATCAATAAACTCTTTTGAGACAAACACTTGAGCACAAATTTCAATGGTTT